TCAACCTCTTGTGTCGACTGATATGTGTACACAATATAGCCTCTTGTGGGTATTCTGAAAAATGCCACTCAAGATTTCAGCGCCAAAACAATAATAATCTTTTACTATAACTGAGGTTAGAAGTCAGCTAAATGACTGCGCACTTGTAAGTACGGATAAGGATTTAAAAGTATCACAGAATGCGTTTAGGTGAAGCCTCTAGGTACTCCTTTGAATGTTTTGAAGTTTGCTAGAATGTACTAGCTTTTGTCCAAGCATGCACATAATCTTATAGCTGTTACCATTTTAATAAAGAAAACATTTTATTGATCTAATTTTGATGAAAAGTAGCAACAATCTCGTGTTCTACTACGTAGTATGAGTGACTTACAGTGCAGCGAGGTGGTATAAGTTTGGTGATGACTTCAACCATTGTGCGGGCGAAAGTTGGATGAAATTTAAATAAAGATCCGTCTACTGCGATTGTTGTACGAGGTCGATCAATGCGATTAAGAAGACACGCCACGCCTGAATAATAATTTTGCTTACTACATTCTTTATTAAGTACTTGGTTCTTTGTAATTCCACTATTTTACAAAAGTTTATGCAGATGACATTACCAAATCATTACAGTTTCTCACCTGAAGCAGCGAAACTTGCAGCCCTGTTGGCTACAGAACTGCACACATAGCGAACTATCTTTAGATCTTCAGTAGTAAACTTTGTCATTCGAAATGCCTCACGAAGGATGTACTCCGTGCTATAGAAAAGGTGGGTCGGATCACTATAAAAGAGAATTTATTTCGGTAACTTTTTTGATATCAGATTGGCGACAGCTTATAAATACGACTGACCGGTCAACTTCACTTAGAAAGTATGCAGGAAATCCATCCTTGACATCCAGCCGTTCAGGAACCAAACCCTCAAAGATTATGCGTTCCGATGCCAGCTTTTTTAATATGTATCTCACTATCTCACCAAGATACATGCCACTAATCATTTTTTCAAATCTGTCAATGCAATAGGCATGGCTAATCAAACTTTACGTTTGTTTTCCGGGATTTAATGACTCGGTGTCAACTAATCCATCGAATTCTGTAGCGAATTCCTCAAGGCATCCATGTTCTCCAAACGCACCCCACTCTATATTGATGACAACCGACTGCGCACTCTTCGGCAGGTCAGTTATTTTTTTGGCTGCAGAAAGTTGCTCCACATATGCCGCATTGGTGCCAGTACCTAGAAATCAAAATTAGTGAAAACGCTTTTGAAATGTTTTACCAACAATTAAACCAATCGCAGTCTCTGGATCCAAGAAGGCACAGGAGGCCAATGCTCCAACTGTATCGTTAACAAGAGCTCGGCAAGTCACTTTTAGTCCCTGAATTTTATCAGTGATAGTTTTTAAAAGCAATTACCAAATCGGTCATTGCTTTATTAAGTATAACAACTATATCTTTTCCAACCACATCGGGTACATCAAAACCCTTTGTCCAGCGAATGAGTGTTCCCCTACTAAGTCCTTCTTGATTGACAGGAAAGGAAAAGGTAAATCCTAAATCAAGAGGAACGTCGAGAAGATTGCGCGTCTGTAAAAATGTTTTCACTGTCCCAGCAATAAATTTAAACAGCTTTAGAATATAGATCATTTAAAAAATTATAGAAACCTCATCGCCTTTGCCTGTTTGCAACTCGTTTGAGATAGTATACACATCTGCTTCGATTAATGGAGGTGTCTTAGGTGCATGAAAAGTGACTAGTAGCAATCGGTAATTCGTTCCACCCAGATCAAGGGCCAGATATCTTCCCGTTTCTATGCAAAACAAAACATGTGCAAATGCATTTTACCATTGCCATTCGGCAAGTCAGTGACATATGTATTAAGCATCTTTAGATCGTTCGTTGGATCATTAGGTGTGCTAAGACCTTTTGTCATCTCTATATTCATCCGATGCATTATGGCCTCGCATTGTTCAGTGGTGGGCCAAAAAGGCTTACAAATTTCAACAGCCTAAAATTTAGGGATGCTTAAACTTATGCATTACTCTGTTGAATTTGGGATTCGGGACATCATTGATTTGTGATTGTGGGTTAACGTTCAAAATCTCATAGCTAAAGTCGATTGTAGGCTTTTAAAACAAACCTTTTTAGTGAGGTTATTGACCGTATCGACCTAAGACAAATCTACATCAGAAACATGATTACCTAGATTCCATTTCCAATCGAAACGGAAACCAGAGACGTAGTTTGATTTGCCGCCTATGAAGACCTCAACTTGTTTTAATAAGCCATGGATGTCAATTACATTTATGTGCATATCCAGTTCACGAATAGAACTTTAGATATATAAGGACATAATAATTAATTACATCTGCTTCATTTAAGCTTGCGTATGTTGGCTGATCGTTTAAGTTATGATGCAAAATACATATACAACTTGCAAATATACTGTGCTTATAAAGGGCTTTTGGCCCGTATTTATTCGCGTCGACCGCGAATTTTATGCATCATTCTGCTTTGTTTGTTTAGTTGCTTTTAGATTGTTGGAGAATTTTGTAATAATTTGCGTACGTGACCACTTGATATCTGGCGGTGTCTTTGGTATTGGTTCTGCCCTTGTACACGTGGGCTGGCCCTCGGGCTAGGACGAAGCCCTGTCCGTTCTTCATTCTTCAAGATGCATGTATCCAGCCCAAATTAATACGTTTTTCCACCTAGTAGGAAGCCTCGAGGCGCTGTCATTTCCCTTGTAGTCGATGGAGACACTAGTATGATTGAAGACCTTCTTCCCCGCGGCTTATTATCCAAAAGCATGTGACCCTTATCCAAAGCTGGGATCAAAACAGCTAATGAGGCGCATCTTTTATTTATATTACAAGAAGTTGCAACTCATTGGGAGTCTTAAAATACTTAGCGAATGTGAAATTCCAAGCGATTTGCTTTTTTATCTTCATTTTACATAATGACTCCCGAAAGCTTTTTTGAAAGCATTAGAAGATCCACTCATGGTAATGATATTCATATGAAATAATAGAATAGGGTAACTACCGTAAGCAGACGCCATACCTAGTCATTTGGTTAATAAACATGAGACAGACTTCTATCCATAACATATGCTCTTCACTAGCATCGTCAAATTTTGAAGCAGCAGTGAAGTCAGAACAAAAATCGCTTCTAGTTAGCGGCCGGCATCGGCTTCCCAATTTAGCATTCCAAGACTTTTACCAGCAGTTACCAGCAGTTTAAGTCCCAGTACCGAAGCTGAATGAAGAATAAGGCTTTTAGTGTTGTACATAGTCTTGTCTACTTGATGAAAGCAATATGGCCACTAAAGGTGCCGCAACCCAAACAAGGCATTAAAAAAACAAATTTTACCTGTAGCAAAACACTTTTTGAGATACTTTTTGTTGATTTTTTCGTTAGCACCTCTGATACATTGCTGAAAGAATTTGTGATACTGTTTTATTTGCTTAATGAGATGTGCATGGTAACGCTACTTCAGTCATTAAGTAGTATGCATTCTGCGCATGCAAACGCACTTGGATCCTTTTACAGCGGGAAGATATGGATAAAATAAGAAGACTACTTATAAAACGCTTAAATAAGCAAGCGTTATTCTTAAAAAAGATCCGATAATCTCTCAGATCATATTTAGGATCAAATGAATTTATATCGGTTACGTGCTTTGGTATAAACCCGCATCAGTCCTGCTTATGCGTCCTTCACCAGTACTCACACTATATGTAAGGCGACTTTTCATTAACTTTTTGCTTTCCTCGGCATTTAAATGCCATACGACATACTGACGCATGCTACCTATGCATACTTCGCACTTCCTTCAATCACTGCCACATTATTCAAGATGATAAAGCTTTGCACCTACACCTTTCTACCATCTTTTTTACGCCAAAAACATTTGTAAGTGGTTGAACTTACGTAGACAATTTCTAAGACAGCGAATGGAGTTAAATAACAAGACGGTGGACTCGAATCTAGGCCGAAATTTGCAGGTGGTCAACCCTGATTTTAAAAAGCGGCTGTCGCCTTTTATCTGCCCACACATCTCCATCCCCTATTCCCTCTGTTTGCTTTACGTGCCCACGATAGGAACCATATGGACTTTTGTTTGACTAATATCTCTACGCTCGATACCAAATCTCCACTTGGTTTAAATCCGGAGCGACTTTGGTGCAGGTGCTTATCAGGAGTAACTTTGTCGGACCTCCTCTACCCATCCTACGCACTCCTTTCATTCGGCCGTTGGTTTCGATGCCAAAACTTGAACTTCTAGCTACTTTATAATGTGAGTTTATATAACAAATTTATTTGGAAATAGGCCCAAGTAATCAATTTTAGTATGATTTTCATCTATGTTTAGGTTTTTTGAGCCTCTCAATTTCATCGCCACGTAGCTGTAAACGCATCTCAACTAGGCTGTAGTGTTTTAAATTTAAAAGTTGGTCTCAGGTTTTCGCTTTATTGCCTTGTCATAAAGAAAATTAGTTACAAGCTGAAATGAAGCTTACAGTACCCTAAGCATTAAATTTATCAAAATACTAAATGTTACAGTGAGTGTCTAAACCCCGATTACTGCAAACACTTCAATTTGATTTCGCTCCGCTTTCTAATCATAAAACGGATGGATAAGAATATTATTTGTTAACCACGTTTTTTGCAGGTTAAATTAAAAAAAAAGAGTTTCCACTGTGGAGTGTCCAAAAACTTAGTATTTAATCAGGAGAGGAGACTTCTACTGCGAAAATATGATTTCACAAGCCTCTGGGAATGCAAACCCTTCTGGTGCAGTGGAACTTCCTCATTGTCTCAACGAATGCACAAGTCGAAAGAAGGGCAGAGCAGGTAGATCAAAGCGTGACATCAAAGCGCAGTGATTGTAGCAAATGGAGTGAAATGTTCAGGCGCAAGTCGGTGCTTTGGCGGTGTGGGTGTGTGCGCGTGTGGGTGCTTCGGAGAGGCACAGGCAACCACCTCGCAGGACACTGGTGGTGCCGCCTCGATATTGGATAATCGCCTTGATGTAGGTCATACAATAAAGCACTGCATGTCAAGCATTACGCGGCTATAAAATATATACTCTCACTTGAAAAGCCAATTAAGCAATCGTCTCTGTTTACCTACTGTTATGTGTCTCGGGTGCCAACCCGTTCAAAGACATAATTCGAGTTATAGTAATTTTGGCGCAACTGTGGCTACTGATGGCAAACCTTTTTTGCGTGCGCAAAAAATAAGTAGAATTAAGTAGTTTCCACATATTTTTAACACTTTGTAATTGTCATTTTTAAGTAAAAAATAAACCACTTTGAGTTTATGTGAAAACCTTCCTTATTAACATTTTGACTGTGATAAAATAAAAGATGTGTTATCGTTAAGTGAGTTGGGACGATGCAAGCATACAAATCTATGGTGAGCAAAGAACAGTGAGTGTAAAGCATTCATTTTTCTTCCCCGATGGTTCGCGCAGTTGATGCTGATGAAAGTGGATGTGGAGAAGGGGAGAGGAGGCGAGAGATGGATTCGAAGTGACTCATTGCGAAATACATTGTCGTGAGAATCTCCTACAAGTGACACGTAATCGCACAATAAAAACCTACCACTTTTCGGTACTAAAAGAGACTGTGAAAGCACAGGGGAAGGGGGAGAAAGGGTGGGGAAAATGGGTCCGCCTACACGAAGTAAAATTGCCTGAAGCAGAGTTTGTGTGCAAGCAATATGGCCCACACCGTTGCTGCCAATCGCCAGATCCAACCAACGATCTCAGACACGCGGGTGGTAGTTTAGTGCAAGAAGTTTGTTAGTATTTCGCTTTCATCAAGCTAAGCTATAAAATGCGACGATTAAGGTGCTAAATTTTAAAAATTTAGGCATTATTTGCTAGCACAACATCATTAATCTTTGTGTTCGCAAGCTGACTTTGTTCTCACCGAGCGTTTCCTTTTCACTGAAAAGTCACCAGAGGAAGGAATCAAATCAACATCCCTATCAAACAGTAAAGTTCCTATGAGTAAAATTAGGCTGGAGTGTTAATTAAAATCTCCTAATTAGACGACATCGTTTAGGGATTTAGGCAATGGAAGCTGTCTACCCCCAACTTAATGACCCTTGTCATTTCGGCCCCAAATATTACAAGAAACTCTCGGTCGATAGGGATAAAGGTTCTCACTTTATGCCTGATGATGCCTACTAAATTCATATGACAAATTTCCAACCCCTAATTTTGGAAGGCATTATTCTTGCGATGTTTTTTGAATATAGCAAATTGTCATTTGCTAGACATAAGCTGAAGATGAGTTGAGGGTGTACATTGGCGGTCAAGACCGATTTCATCTGTATTAAACAAACTATTGTCTTGGTAACTTTTTTCGATAAAACAGCACATAGGACTCAATCTCAGCGTTTATGAGGATTTCAAACTCTCAAAAGGCAGTACTTAGTCACTACTGGCTGGATGATATGGTGAGCGAATGATTTTGTACATCTTCCATTAATGAAACCGCACCACGGCATTTAACGGCCTAAAGTGTTTTGCTTTTAGAATAAGACACCTTTGCAATCTCCAAGTGTGCATTCACCATTGACAAGGTTCTGGTCCTAAATGTAATGCCTTATTCTGTCCACCTTCGGATCATCCCTTTACTGTCTAACCTACCCGCCTTTCACATGATTCACCAACTTTCCTCACAGGCCTTAAAAATGTGTGATCACCGCCCGAAGGTGCCTTAAACGTGTTTGAGCAAGGTATCGTTCCCCATCTTCCCTTTTAAAACTTTTATGAGTGAGTTTTGCCGTATAACTTCTTGTGTTATTCTCCAAAATATGATCTTTTTAGTTTAACTATTCATTGTCTTCTCTCAAACCATGGAAGTAATATGGGTGGACCTTGGTATCACCTGGTCAGTTTGCAAAAGCTGAATTGTCTGTCTTGAGCATAGGCATCGA